TGAAGTCTGTAATCTAGGCCTGCTTGTGGGTTTGTAGGTATTCTATTTTTATTTTGGCTGTATTGAGGTTTGAACTCAGGGCTACCCATTTGCTAGGCAGGTGCTCTACCACTTACCACTTGATCCATGATGCCAGTGTGTCTGTAGGTATTCTTGCAGCTCTAGAAATCATTGATTTATTCTTTGTTCTTTTTGCTCTCTCTGAGATCATAATTTTTGACTAGTTTTATATTGTTGTTCTTATAGGTACCTGTTTTTTTCATATATTGCTCAGTATGTTTGTGTGTGCTAAACAAGGGATAGATGTAGAGATAGGTACTCAGTACAGAAAACCTAGAAAACAGATAGCACAAAAGGAAAAGCCAGAAGACCCACCTTGAATCCCATTACCTAGTATTACAAGAATGCATCTTTTTTTTGGTTGTTCTGGGGTTTGAATTCAGTGCCTTGCACTTGTTAGGTAGGTGCTCTTCCACTTGATCCATGCCCCCAACCCTTTTTCTTTTAGTTTGCTTTTCAGATAGGGTCTGAGGTTTTTTTTTTTTCCTGGAGCTGATCTGGACTGCAGTCCTGCTACCTATGGCCTCCCATGGCCTCCCAGGCTTGCACTCCCACACGTGGTTTATCAATCGAGATTAGGTCTTAATAACTTTTTGCCTGGGCTTGCCTTGAACCCTGATCCTCCTGATCTCCTGAGTAGCTGGAATTGTAAGTATGAATATGTGCCCAGCATGAATATGTCTTAATCCCTTGAATGAGGTTCAAGGTCAACCTAGGCAAAATGTTAGCAAGACCCTACTTATCTCAAAAAATAAGCTGAAGGTGGTGGCGTATACCTGTTGTTCAGCTACTTGAAAGTTAGAGGAAGGAGAATCATAGGACCACCCTTGGGCTAAAAGTAGAAAACCCTCTCTGAAAAATAACTAAAACAAAAGAATTGGGGATGTGACTCAAGGGTACAAGTGAGGCCCTGAGTTAAAAACTCCAGTACTGCCTCCTCTTCTCCCACCCCCCAAAAAAGTCTTACCTTTTTTTGTTTCAATATCCATGTAAGCATACTCTCCTCTCCCAAATGTTAGGCCCATCACATCTTGTTTCTGTAGGTTAATAACTCAAATTTTCTATTTTAGCTCTCCATAAAACTATGGTGCTCAGGAAAGATCTGAACAAGCAGTATTCTGATGAATTGGAAGAAAAAAATTAATGAATAAAGAAAAGCTTACTGGGGCCATTGAAATGCTCCTCTGTATGAGTCAGTATATTGTTGACCTCTTTTATTGGCCTTCCATCTGCAGCCAAATATGCTAATGTGCAGCAGCATTTAATAACCTTTTAGTTTTGCAAACACAGAGCTGATGGACAGTGATAGATTATAAAAGGAGTGTCTGGCTATTATGAGACTTGAACAGACTGAAAGTAAGATCTTATAAACTCATTTTGGTCTTCACTGTTGTGTTTTCAATTCACAAAATTAAGATTGTAAAACTGTCGGGCTCAATTAAAATTTTGCATGTTGTATATAGGTATACCAGTTTACTGGTATAATGGCTTACTCTTTTTGGGAGGGGGTGGGACTGGGGTTTGAACTCAGGGCTTTGTGTTTGTAAAATAGGTGCTCTTGAGTACTACTTGAGTTATACCTCTAGAGCATTTTGCTCTGGTTATTTTGGAGATGGAGCCCTTGAGAACTGTCCTCTGAGATCCTCCCAATCTTAGCCTCCCAAGTAGCCAGGATTACAGGCAAGTTATATTCAATTCAACCTTTGTTGAGTTCTTCCTGCTTGTTAGGCAGTATGTTTTAGAGTTTCTTGAGGTGTTGTTTGATATGTGGTAGATGAAGATGGTTTCCAGACTTCTATCAGTGTAGTAACGTCAAGGCCAAGAAAAAAAGAAAGAAAGAAAAGAAAAGAAAAAGAGGATTAGCATTTGGTTGCCACCTTTTTATTTTGCCAGTAAAGACATTTTTAAAAAGTTACTGAGTGTAACTTTTAGAAATACGAATATTTTCCTCCATTTTATTCTCCCATTATATTTTTATTTTCTGTGTAGAGTTGGTTTGTAATTTAGGTTACTATCTTTATTTTACTGATAGAGGAAATGAGATTCCAGAGTGTCTCTTGAGATCTCAGAAAGAACGAAGAAATTTTTTCTCACAAATATAGTATAGCTTACATATATATTGTCATATATATGTTGATGTTAGTTATAAAGGTGTTAATTTTGTTTTCAGACTTGAAATGTGATTCCCCAAACCATCTTTTTGTATAAATTAGACAATTTCTTAGATTCATTTACTCAGGACTTTATGCTTGCAAAAAGCTCTACCTCTTAAGCCACTCCTCCAGTCTATTTTGCTCTGGTTATTTTGGAGGTGAGGTCTCTAAAACTATTTGTCCATGCTGGCCTTGGAGTTCAGTCCTCCCAGTCACAGCTTCCCAAGTAGCTAGGATTGCAGGTGTGAGCCACCAGCCCCAGCTTGGATCAGTTTCTTGGGAAATTCCTGTTTGCAGCTATCATTGTAGAAATGTGAATGATAGCTTACTGTGGTATTGAATTGCTACTGTGTATTCTGAAGCTGTTAGTAGAATGTAATTTCGTGTTACAGTAATTTGATGATATGTGGAAGGGAAGAAAGAGAAAATGAGACAGTTAAAACAGTTGCTCTTGGGCTTTCTCTTCCCCTTGTGAAAGGGCCTGAACTCTGCCAAGGTGTTCCTTTTCTTTCTCCCACCCCTACCCTCTTTACCATTTTTTTTTTTTTTAACCATTCCTTAACCTATCTCTGTTCTTTGTCTTCTTTCCATCTTCCTGCCTCAGCCTCTTGAGTTCTTGGATTACAGGCCTGTACCATCATGCTGGGTTTCTGTGGAACTTCTTTATAGTATTCCTGATGTAAGTTTATTCTGGGGCTGTTTGGAAAATTATTTATTAAATCAGAGGCTCAAGCAGTCTCTTCTAACCCATTTGCCTCTTAAAAAAAAAGAACATTACTTTAAACAACTGTTATCCCAAAATAGCAACACATATTAGGGATACAGAAATGAAGACATTTCCTGCACCTGTTTGTGAACATCATCATAGGTCTCTTTACTGCATGCCTAGTTACTGCTTCTTTTCCAACAGAGATTGAGAAAAACACATTTCTGGTATGTGCCTGTGTGGGAAGGTTAAGACTGGCAAGAATCTTGTTTTTGGGTTTAAAGTCTCACCGTGTTGTTGTGGTTTGTGTGCATTACTATGACCCTGAAACCCTGTGTGAGTTTATGAAATGCCTTCTGCACATATAAAAAGGTTAAATCTTTTTTGGTGTGGTTGGTTGGTTCTTTGAAAATTGATTGCCCACATATTTACATTTTTTTTTTTTTTTTTTGCAGTACTGGGGCTTGAACTCAGGGCCTACGCCTTGAGGCACTCCACCAGCCCTTTTTTGTGAAGGGTTTTTTCTTTTTTTTTTTTTGCTTGCTTAAGGACTTTATTTATTTATTTATTTATTTATTTATATTATTATTATTCATATGTGCATACAAGGCTTGGGTCATTTCTCCCCCCTGCCCCCACCCCCTCCCTTACCACCCACTCCGCCCCCTCCCTCTCCCCACTACCCCCTCAGGGTTTTTTCAAAATAGGGTCTCACAGAACTGTTTGCCCAGGCTGGCTTTGAACCTCTATTCTCCTGATCTCTGCCTCCTCAGTAGCTAGGATTACATACATGAGCCACCAGCACCCGGCTCACATATTTACAATTTTAACTCTCCATTAACTGGAATGTTAACCAGATTACTTTATCCCAACATAATGCTGGAAAATGGAAACTTTTAGACCCTTAAAAGAAATTATAAAAATAATACATTTTTGCTGTAGGATGTTGACAAAAGTTTTTATGAATTACTGCTAGTCCTACCACATAGAGTTAATCATTTTATATATGTATATATATATTTTGAGGCACTGGGGTTTGAATTTAGGGCCATACACTTTCTAGGCAGGCCCTCTTACCACTTGAGCCACTCCTACAGCCCTTTTTTTGTGATGGGCTTTTTCGAGATAGGGTCTCTCGAACTATTTGCCTGGGCTGGCTTTGAACCAGGACATGAACCACCAGCACCAGTGTGGTTTTTTTTTTTTTTTTCCTTTTTTGATGGGTCTGGAGTTTGAACTCAGAGCTTTGTGCTTGCAAAGCAGGTGTTCTGTTGCTTGAGCCGTGCCTAGATCACTCTGGTTATTTTGGAGATGGGATCTGGCAAACTATTTGCCTGGGCTTGCCTTGAATCATAATTCTCCTGATCTTAGCCTCCCAATTAGCTAGGATTTCAGACATGAACCACCAGCACCTGGCCCATCAATCCTAATTTTTTTCTCACTTATATCTTAGGTAATTAAAGTTACAGATTACATATCAAGGGAGATAAACATTAGGTTGAAGAGCTCATATTACTTTATATGTGTACTAAAAGACTTCATGCTTGTTATATAGGGACTAAAGGTACAAAAATACAACAATAATGTAAAACTAGATGTGTGGCTTTAAGGGGTTTTCCTTTTTTTTTTTTTAATTTGGAAGCCATAATACAAAAGGTTATCTGCTGTTCACTCACCATTCCAGAAATTCCTGTCTTAACATGTATAATTAATAGCTTAACTGAACAAAGCGAGAGCTTTTTCTTACTCAATATTGATGCATTTGTCATTTGTATCAGGAAGGTATGTGCTCAGTAATTTTTTTCCTTTTGATAGCATATAAATTGGTCAGTACCTGCTATGCTTTTCCTCTAATATTTTTTTTCAGAACATGCAGACTTAAGAAATATTTACATTTTCTTTTAAAATCTCATTCTTCCTCCATTCTACCTTCTGTTTTGGAACTTTGGGAGTGAGAAGGGAAGACTGTGTCAGTACTGAAACTTTGGTCTTCTGTTTTCTTTTTTGTTGTTTCTATTTTCCTATTTGTTTATAGTCCCTCAAGGCAGCATGTACCTAATAAATATTTCCTTGTTTTTCAGGTTCTAAATGGCTTCTAAGAAGTTGGGTGCAGATTTTCATGGTAAGTAGATCATTAAGTGTGGTTTATAATTTGGTCAGGAGTTTGAAATCACTTAGCATAGTTTTAGTGTCCCTTTTTTGTCTCTTTACATGAACAGTTTGAGAAAATGAAAGTTGAACAACATGTGGCATATACAACCCAGGATCTCAGATAACTTTAAAGTATTTCTTCAAGTGGATATTAGAATCTCTCTGGTTATTGCGCTTGAAGCTACTAGAGATGTATTGGAAAGCTGATTCCCTGGCCTCAATGCCAGTTCACAGATAAGGAAAGCAGAGTTTTTGAGGAGAGGAAAATAAGGTTTATTATTCATCAGAGAAAAAGAAGGACCAGGAGAGTCAACCTCTCAAAGCTCTGTCATCTCACTTCTTAGAGAAAATGTCTGATCTTTAAAGGAGAGTTCACGGGCTTAACTGAGGCTGCTGGCCTTGGTTTTCCAGGTATTGGCACCTCATCTCTGAAGTTGTATGTCTTGGCTGAGAGGTGTACTTCTCTGATGGTCAGAGAGAGAGAGAAAAGGTAGAAGACTGCTTGCGTCCAATCCTCTCTCCCCTGTCCCTTCCCCCATACCCCGGTGGTACTGGGGTTTGATTTCAGGGCCTCATGCTTGCTAGGCATGTGTTCTTCCACTTGAGCTACTCTGCCAGTCTTTTTTTTTTTGTGTGTTGGGTATTTTCAGGACAGGTTTTTTCGAATTATTTGCTCATGGCTGGCTTTGTATTGTGATCTTCCTGATCTCTGCCTCCTGAATAGCTAGAATTATAGGAATGAGCCACCAGCACCCAGTTGACTGCCTGGTTTAATTGAATAGTAAAAGGAGTTAACTTTGGGCTCTCCAGCGTGTAGACTTAAAAGGGAAAAAGTGTCAGTTTGATTGACAAGCAGAGTTAGTTGGCCAGTGAGCAAGCTGGCTACACCAAAAGTTTTCCCTATTGTAGTACCAGTTACATTTTTCCCCACTGTCAATTTATTCCTTCAATTACTGCCTTTAGTTAATACAATGGGCCAAGAAAAGAGAGTACTCCTCAGCAAAAATAGCTTTTAAGCCCTCGTTACAGAGATGGATGAGGGGCCTTCTCGTTTTTGTTGTTCTTAAAAACCATTTTGAGGCAGTTATAATTCCCATTCCTGTTCCTTTATTATTGAGCTTCTCCATTGGTGTGTATGAAAAATACTTTAAAAATTTTTTTTTTGTTTGGTGGTATTGGGGTTTGAATTCAGGGCTTTGTGTTTGCTAGGCAGGTGCTCTACCACTTGAGCCATGCCCACAGCCCTATGTGTATGAAAAAAATCTAACCCTTTAATTAATACTATATGTTTTCATTTAGTACTCCCCTCCCCCCAAAAAAGGAAGTAATTTACTGTGAATCAGTATATTACAGAGGTATCAGTAATAGTAATTATAATTTTGTACTTAAAACTAATAGTTTATCATATTTCCTTAAGATAATGATCTTCCAAATAGAATATGATAATTAAAGTTTATTATCTGTGCTGGGCATGGTAGTATATGCCTGTAATTCCAGTACTGAGGCAGGAGGATCTTGAGTTTGAGCTCAGCCTGGGCTACATAGTGAATTCCAGGCCAGCCTTGGCTGAACCTCTCTTGGCAAGAGAGGTTCTCACAAAAAAAAAAAAAAAGAAAAAAAAGAAAAACCCCAAACCTATAAACCTTATTATTTGCATTTGGAGGAAATTGAGATGCCAGTATTTTCATGCAGTACAGGATAAGAATTATATACCAGAAATATTTAAACGATAAAAATTATTTTAAAGCTGATCTTTCATTTTATAAATCATATCATATTGCTATAAGAATCATTCTTACTCCTGGCAGCCAGTGTTGGTGTGCTTTTTTGAGCTACAAATGCTTGCTTGTTAGTATTACTCAGGTGTGTTAGTGTGGTGCAGTAGTCACTATTATTATAGTGACTTGCTTATACATTTTATACAGTAGCTTTGAAATTGAATTCACATTTTACATGTACCTACATATGTAACTTGCTTATGTTTTGTTAAATCATTTTGGAATTAAGTCATTCAAACTCATGAATTAGCATTCTGCAAGTCAGGCATCATATCTTATAGGTAAGCTATCTCCTATTATTTGAGGACCTATCATTAGAGGCACATCTGAAGTTGCCTTTGGGACACTTTTGTCCCCCTTCCCTGGTTTTTTTTTTTTTGTGTGTGTGGTGTTGGGAGTTGAACCCAGGTCCTCATGCATGCTAAGGAAGTGCTGTATCACTGAGCTTCACTCCCAGCCCCACTCTGGATCACTTTTTCAAGGGAAAAAGAGAGGACAGAGCCAAAGACAAAGGCAGAGCCTGGGAAGAAAATAGCATAAATGAAAATCCTAAATTTATATAGTCTCGTTTCAAAAGATAAGTGCTCTGTCTTTAGAAACTCTTTTTTAAATTTATTTTTTATTTTTTTATTTTCTTGGTACTGAGGTTTGAACTTAAGGCTTCATGCTAGGCACGTACGCTACTGCTTGAGCCTGGAAATTCTTTTTTTTTTTTTTTTGTGGGACTGGGATTTGAACTCAGGGCTTTGTGCTTGCAAAGCAGGTACTAGCCACACCTCCAGCCCTGGAAACTCTTTTGATTGGAATGAAAATGAGTTGGACCCCCAGGTTATATGTTCCAGCTAAAGAATCCCAGGAGAAGATTATAATTTTAAAGGTGTCAGATCAACATAGAATTTGCTTTTGGCTTAATTCAGTGACTTTTGTTGAGTTTTTAGAGAAAAGAATTATATTTTTAAATATCAGGTAGCTTAAGGAATAGAATTTAAAGGAAATAAATAGGTAGAGAATATTTTATAGGCATCTGAGTACAGAAAATCAAGTATAGAAGTTTTTATTTTTTTAAATAATCTATGGTTAACTATAGATACTGTGCCATTTTTAAATGGTTTTGTGCTTTGAACTCAGGGCTTCAAGCTTGCAATGCAGGCACTCTACCACTTGAGCAACTCTTACAACCCAAGAAAAAGTCTTATGTGTTCAGTACAGATGTGTTCTCCCTTCCCGCATATATATAGATATTTTTGTTGTTTGTTTGTTTTTGAGACAGGGTCCTGTTGTGTAGCCCAGGTAGCCTTGAACACTCAAACCTCCTATCTCACCTTCTTGAGTGCTAGGATTATAGCCATGCCAGGCTTCCTTGAGTCTGAGTATTTTTTTTTATCTGAAGTGGTCGAATCCATGGATGAGGAACCCATGGATACTGAGGACTGGCTGTAAGGGGGGGGTGGTGTGTGTGTGTGTGTGTGTGTGTGTGTGTAGCTAAGAACACTTAACATAAGATCTACCCTCTCAAGATAGGCGTGGCAGTTCATGCCTATGATCTCAGTACTCAAGAGGGCAGGAGAATCTCAGGTTAAAGGCCAACCTGACTAGTACTGACTTTCAGGTCAGCCTATGCTACATAGCAAGGACCCTGTCTCAAAATCTAAAACAAAAGAAAAAAACCTACCCTCTAGCAATTTTAAATATGCAGTATAATATGGTTAACTATAGATACTGTGCTATATGTACACAGCAGGAGCCTAGAATTTATCTTGAATAATTAAAACTTTGTACCCTTTAACTGTCACCTTCTTAATTTTTTCTCCCTTCTAAAGGCAAGCTGTGGATTTATATCCAGTTAGCTAATTTATAGAGAGGTCCATTTTGCCCTTGATTTAATTTTTACTAAGAAATTTAAATACTTTTCCTTTTGATTGATAGAAAATAGCATTTTGTTTCAGACTGTGATCTGTAATTGCTTTATAGTTTAATTTAGAAAAGTTTACCATCATTTTAATCATTATTCTCCTGTATGTGTCATCCCTCCTTCTCCCTCTTCCTGCTTTCATGATTTTCTCTTTATCTTTTGTTTCCAACACTCCCTTGGTTTGCCCACCCTCCCTCCTTTCCTTTCTTCCTCTCCCTCTCTCCCTTAGTCTTTCTTCTATCCCCCCCTTATCCCTTCCCTTTCCTCCTCTTCCTCTCCCTTCTTTTCTCTCTCTCTACCACTTGAGTCACTCTGCCTGCCCCCTCCTTTTTTTTTTTTTTTTTTTTTTTGTGGTACTGCTGGGTCTTGAACACAGGGCCTTCACCTCAAGCCACTCCTCCAGGCCCGCCCCACTTTTTTTTTTTTGTGATGGTTATTTGCCTGGCTGGCTACTCTGCCTCCTGAGTAGGTAGGATTACAGGGGGTGAGCCACCAGCACCTGGCCTCCCCCGTTCCCCCCTTTTTTTTTTTTTTGAGACAGGGTTTCATTATGTAACACAGGCTAGCCTTGAGCTTTCTCTGTAGCCCACACTGGCCTCAAACTTTTGATCCTTTTCATCTTCCTGAGTTCTGGTATTACATGTGTATCCTATTACTCCTGTCTTCCTTGATTTGAATTTCTACATATGTATTCTGCCTGGACTTAGCTAGACTTCTTGCATCTATTGGTTGAAGTCTTTTTAAGTCACATTTGGAAAAATTTCTCATCCATTATCTCTATATTTCTTCTGTCGCATTTTCCCTCTATTCTTCTTTTGAGACTCCAGTGATATATGGTATTATATGTTGTTCCAAAATGTCTCTTTATACTCTTCCTTTAGTTTTTAAGTTTTAATTAAAAAATAAAAAATTTTAAAATACTTTTTCCTCTTTGTGTTTCAGTTTGGTTAATTTCTTTTGGCCTGACTTTCAAGTTCTCTGAGTCTTGTCCTCTTACTAGTACAGCCTGGTTTCTGATCCATTAAGGTTTTTCTTTTCTGATAATGCATTTTTCACTTCTAGCATTTTCATTTGTCTCTTTATATTTCCATTTTTCTGCTGAAATGCATGATTATTTTCCCCATTAGATCTTTTAACATATTTACTATGCTGTTTTAAAGCTCCCAGTCTGATAATACAGTATCTTGACTAACTCTGTGTTTGTCACTGATGCCTGGGTCTTCTCTTGATGATGAGTCACATTTCTTCGCTCTTTATTTTTTATCGAATGTCAGCTGCCAT